GACAGAGAGAGAGAGAGAGAGAGAGAGAGAGAGAGAGAGAGAGAGAGAGAGAGTGTGTGTGTGTTCCAGTTTACCTTCTCGAATACTAAATTGATGACACCCTGCAGTCGTGGCAGTGTGTCGATATTCAACGTCCGCACTTGATCGACTAAAGTGTTAAATTTCTGTGGAGTGAGTTTATTCAGTACACTCCTCACTCTCTTGTAAAGCGCCTCCGTTTTCGTTTCTTCCTCGGTAAGACCAATCGCTTTTAATCTAGTCGGTTTCCATGCGTTCTCGGTTTCTCTTAACTTTACATCCTCTTTCAAGGACAACGACATGTGAATAACGGTTGATTTCGACGGCTTAGACGGTTTCCCTGAATGACTCTTATTGCGATTCGTCGCCAGCTAAACAAAGATACAAACGCGTTCCATTAGAATTATGAAACATATTCATAGAGTAACGTTGCATAAAATCTAACGTTCACGTCAGGGTTAAACTATTTCTATCAAAGTGACTCAGTTCACTACTTTCATCTCTGACAAACATCACTCGTGAATACTCGGATAAAACACGTTCAACCGACGTCCGTAAACGTCGTCGCGACTTACCGGTCGTGAATTTAGAGTTGGCCTTATGAATACAGGAAACAGGGAATCGTGTCTGTTCACGCTCGAGTCCCTAAAGGCCCGGAGATCTACAGGAGCACGTGCCTGTGGAAAAGACAATGATCAATGTAACGTTAACTTCATACAGTGCAACAAGTGAAATAAAAAAATTTCAACTGTTTTACCTTCTGGCCGTCTTTCAAAACGACGTCTAAGTCCGGTAGATTCGAAGGCTTAGTCTTGCTATTGGGATCATCCTGGAGAGTCATCAGGAACTCACGGTCGTAAATCTTCTTGCCGCTCTTGTTTATGGGACTCCATTGGTCGTCCTTATACTTGTATTTGAGGGTTATCTGATTCGCAGCGGTTCCCTCCGTCTGAGGCGGCGACTCGTTCTCGTTTGATTTCTCCGTCGGCGTGGGCCCCGGGAGTTTCTCCTCGTTCGGTGTTCGGCTCGCCGGGGCCTTCGACTTCTCGTCATTCCTCTGCGCTATCAGCGCTCTCATATCGTCTATGACAAGAGCTAGCGACTCTTTGCCCGTTTTCGCGTTGTCGACAACGTCGCTATTAGGAACTGGTTTCGCTTGAATATTACAGACATTCGATTTATTGTTATCTTCTATCTTCGGGGAGGCTTCTTTCGCGGTCTCTTCGTTACTTGGCAGTTTTTCCGTGACAGGCGGCTGCGCGAGCGGGCTCTCCTTCAGGATCTCCGGCGTCTGAGGAGTGGTCACGTGTTTCTCCGTCTTCGCGGGAGTCGAGGCGGCTTCCTTCTCCTTTTTTGATTCGTAGTTGTCCTTCTCTTTGATATCCTTCGTCGTCTCCCGGCTAGCTTCCTTGTTGCTGTCCTTCACCGGCAACGACTCCTTGGTCTCCTGCTTCGCCTCGGTTTTCGCCGGCGGCACAGTGTTCACGAAAGCGTCCATGTCTGTGCCTTCTTTCTCCGCTCCTTTACGGTTAAGTTCACGTGGCTTGAGTTTATTTTTACTCTTTTGCTTCTGCATGGCTTTACCTGGAAAACAAAAGGAAACGTCTCTGTTAATTGCGATTGGGAGCGAGGCGTCCACGCTGAGGACATCTTGTCTAGAGTGGATTCGTTATCAGTGGGAAAGGCCGATCGAAACGGCACGACTGTGACTCTGGATCGTTCATGCAAAGTCATCATTGCGCTGATATCACTGCACAGAGACGTAAGCTCTGAAGAAAAGTGAGTATTTTCGGCTGCAAGCCAAGGATAATTATAGTCACAGATCACAGTACACTTCGCTGCGACATTTCACTTTTTCCCCATTGACGCGTACACAAATTTACCAGTCGGTCGATCGGAAAATCGTCACCTCTGTCCACGAGAAAATCTTCGTTCCCCTACGACTATTTCACGAAAAATTCTGTCCGCGATTCGGTCATCTATTTATTTAGATGCGATCGTTCGAACGACGAGTATAAATAAACAAAAGAAAAACTTGCGTGAAGCATTTCTTAATTTCCTCAGGGTTCAACTAGCACGACTCGTTCCGACGAGGCCTGTCATCGAACAGAGAATTCACTCGACATCGTCGAACCCATCAATTCGCGACAAGGAATGGGATCGTGTAACGGACAATCTACACCGAGCTTTTTCAAGCCGTGGATCGCGAAATAAATTGAATCGCGACGAAACAACGAAAGGGAAGGACTGCGAGTTATGGTGCCATTTTTGTTCACCTCGGAATACCTCGTTGTTCTCCATTTTTGTTCTCCATGATCGGTTCAACGATCATTGTTGCTATAAAAAATAAATTCAAGTAAAAGTACTTAGCTGTTGCCAATTTTAACAATTTCTGTGCTCTCGGAAATGACAAACGATAAATCGATGGTAATCGTAAATGATCCGGTCACATCGGTACGAGCCGAACGTTAGGAATCGTGAAAACGGTTGATAAACTAATTAATCGACACGCAAGGTTTACCAGTCGCTGGGATGAAAAAATACAAATTACGGATGTACCATGGTCCCTGGAACCACGTCGACTACGACTCCTCGATCGAGAGCTACCGCTGACACGGGCGCTGCCATTAATTCTGCGGTCTCCCATTTTCACGGTGGCCGAGGTAGGTTAGGTGTTGCGCGGCACTTGTGCGTTATTTACACGTGTTTCAACTGCAACGTTGCGCCTGTGTTTTCCATATCAAAAGCATTATGTCCCATATTGAACGAGTCACATTCTCAACAGCACAAAACTCTTTGTGCGGCTCGAATTTCAATGGCCCGTGTGTAACGTAAGTTTGTCTCTCTCTCTCTCTCTCTCCCTCTTTGTCTCTGTCTCTCTTTCTTTCCCTGTATGTATACGTCTTTCTGCGCGTGTACGTGTGTCTGTGCGCCGTTCCCCGCTGCCACTATACCGCTGCTACTGCACTGAATCAGTATTTATTTATAAACCTGCCAAAAGCTTGCCAAAGTCGGGGTAGATAGAATCATGCTCGCAGATGCAACGTGCGAATATGAAGTTCGCATTTTAATCGGTTCCTTTCTGCCTTTCCACGGCGAAAATCGAAACCACGGGGATCGAGAGAATCGAGAACACGACGGATCGCACGGGATTCTCACGGCGAACGATAACCCGGAAGTCGATTGGGAGCTTCGAACGTTCGAACGGATATTTGACGAGACTTCACGGTAACTGTTTCTTTTTATTTTATTTTCTCGTGTTCCTTTCGTTTCTTGGTTTTTGATTTATCGATCGAGCTGGTTCGATCAGAATTCGGCTGACACTTTTACAGAGAAACGTGGAAGGGGGAGAGAGAAAGGAAAAAATGGCCCCCTCAGAAGCTCCTCGTACGACTTTCGCGCAACTATTTTAACCTGTGAACTGGTGCAAACCAACAGGCACGACACAGGATTTCTTAAATTAGTTCTGTTCGCCGGTTGTGTTCCGGCGCACGCGCGCCAGAAACTCTCCTGACAACCCAACCCGATCCGACAGGGCTCTCCCCTAATCGAAATCTATTCGACAGAAAAATCCGTCAATCTTTCCGACGATCGCGGATCGATACGCCAATCGACAGTTGTTTTCGAGATTATTGTAAAAATGAGATTTTTCTTTTATCGTAAAACGAAACGTTGCTTTCGACGGTGACGACGATCGTGACGATAAAATGTGGGTATTTCGAAGAGTCTAGTGGATAAATGTCCAATTGGATTTTTCAGATGTTCTTTCGTTTGTTAATTGCTTAAATTTCGAGATATTTATCGATAAAAATCAAGTGAGGCTTTGACAATTTTTAGTATATTTAATATTGAAAAAGTGACACGAAGTGAGATAAATATTTCAGTAAATTCGAACGCCGTTGCTCGATAATCAGCCGAGAAATAGTTCTTTGAAAGCAATTCCTAAAACAAAGTACACTATACTATGAGACAGCAGTTAATTTGATGCATGAAAGTAGCTTGAGTAAGATTTTATAAAAGCAGGTCGAGGTAACAATCTGAAAAGTACATTGAATGATCGCTAAACCTGTACGCAATATTCTCTCAGCTTTACTGGCGTTACCAAAATTGGTAACACGCGATGAATCCAAGTAAAAATTGTAATTATATATTTAACAATTTGTATTGCTCTATATTAAACGTTAATTCTACTTCTCAAGTACTCGATGCTTTAAACTTCAATTTTTCATGTACACACAAGAAATTAATTTTTTATTCCAACTAAACACGTGACCGAATTTTAATTCAACTAGACACAAGAATAAACTAAAGAATATTATTTATGAAAATGTAAGCGCAGATTAGATTCGACAAAAGATTATTTAACAGCTGTTCAAACGATTCGTGGAATAAAATCAATTTCTAATCGCTCGGCCAGCGCAGGGATCTACGCAGTGCTCGCACACGAAAAGTACCCACAACCTAGAACCATCATTTTTCTCACCAATGAAAACCTTTCACTCGATTAGTGAATGCTCAAGGTTACCACTGACGCCGAAAGTCTTGAGATATTTTTTGCACACGCATGAGACGTGCTCTTGTGAAATGACACTAATAGACATCCTAACCATGCATGTAGCCTGCCGTACACGCGCGACCGTGACCCCACGCGTTTTAATGACCAAAGTATGCACGCACTGATTTTTCACAATGGCGTCCACGAAAATGGGAATAGCATCCGGCCATACCGGATCCATGTTTACCATATGCTCGAAAGTATCTAGAGGCTCCAACAGAAAATAGATGAAAACTTTAGAATAAAATTCAATATTAAACATTGCATTTAGCTAACAATTCCACCGGACAACGAAATTCCTCGCTGAAATTGAACCGAACGTGAAATTTCCCCAACATGTGCTCATTAAAATATCTAACATTCTTCGTTTAATTATAATATTTAATTACAATTATCAAGTCACTAGATGTTTCATTTAGATTTCATTAAATTTTTCAAGGAAACACGAATGAAAATGGAAAATATAATTGGAGAAGTGCGACGACGACACGCCCATTAAAATCTTCCTCGTGGCCATGTCTTCATTTTCTTGTAAACCTTTTCCCCTCGACCTACTCTGATAGAATATTCTGTAGCAAGTTCGCAGAAACGCACGAAAAAGATTTAACGCGTTCAATTACCGAGAATAATTTGGCAAAATTTTTCGAATATCGATGGAAACGTGCGATCTGCGAAAATGAACGAACGGCATGAAATTCGTTAGAATACGTGCGTAAACGTGACGAGATAATACTTTTCGGTTATCGGGAATAGGAACCAATGATCAAATATGGAGTACTCCTTTTTCTCGAGCGTTCACAAAATGGCTATAAGCACGAGTATCGCGAGTATATAAAATTAATATCGGCCACAATGTATTTCGATAAGTAAAAATAAATGTTGCCAAGCCGTTTGATAAGCGCTTAATTAAAATCGAGTGTTCCCCTCATTCGACTCGAATAACTGTAAAAAAGACTGAATTACTTCCATAACGAATTACTCCGAGTACACGTGGTTAAAGCATGGTAGATAAAATCGAGCATTATTCACGGGAATCGCGTAAATAATTTTACGATAATTAAATTTTCCGTTGCGCTGGAACGTTTGTAACGTTCGGTTAAACGAATAACAGAAGCTCGGAACAAGAAAATCCTGTCGAAATGCACAGCATACACCCAGTCTCGTTCGAGGCGGCCATATTTGAACACACTCGTGAATCGACCTTCGAAATTCGTTCATAATTTCGAACTTCCTTCTCCGAACGAAATCTCAAAGCAATTACTCGGAAACATCGGCGAAACGGTAATTGATCGTGAATATTTAGACGAATGTTCGAATATTGAAACGTTCCGTGCCGAACTTCACGTCCGTGAAAGCTTATGAATACAAAATGTCGGAACCACGTTGCAAACGGCAGGTATGCCCGACTCGTGGCTGCCAGGAAACGCGACGATTCCGAAAAGAAGAGAAAACGAACAGAATAATTTATACATACATTTCGAATCAAGATCGTCCTCGCTCGTCGTCGTCGTTGCATCCGCTTGATCACTTTACGTCACAGTGAGAATAATTTATGA